GATAGACTTGCAGAAGGCAAATATTGCTCTATTAACATACAGATCTATGATCACAACAGGGAGAAATCAGAAGGAAGGAGAGGACCGTGGAAGCAGAAGATGAAAGGACTTAAAAGCACATCAGAAACAATGCTTTTAAAATCATGCGGTGCCTAACATGCTCTCTAATAGGTTTCTCAACCAATCTTCTTGAAGTCAAAAAAAACAGCATGAAGCCTCGGCGTTACATGGAGCACAACAAATAAATGAAATAAGAGTTCCACCTTGCCAACTGGTAACTTCTGAGGGCTGCTTGTAAAGGAACAGAATGTGCCTTCATTTCACGTACTGAATATTTCCACACACCAAGCGAAAGGATTGTCATAAGCGTTACTTTGCATGTCAGTTTGTGCACGTGTGATGTGAAGTCTACAGCAGATTTCTCTGTCGCTGGGCTAATATGTGAGGGCACCAGGTGGCTGTGTTTGCCTTCAATGTGCCATTTCACACACTGAGGGTTTTACAAATCAGGAATCAAATTGTCGGTTGGGACATTCGCTTGCATTCACGCTGGCAAGCTGGATTGAATCGGCATACCAAACAATGGAATGCAATTATCACATCGATCGTTCTGGATCCAACTTTTAGGAAATTCACTATGGGACACTTGGTAAATGAAAGAGTAACTTCAAATGAAAGATGAGAGGGATCTTGGAGTCCTAGTGGACAAGCATTTAAATAGGAGCCATCCGTGTGCAGCAGCTGCCAAAACAGCCAACACAGTTTAAGGCTGCATCAACAGAGGGATAGAATCAAGATCACGTGAAGGGTTAATGCCACTTTATAATGCCTTGGTAAGGCCACACTTGGGAAAGTGCATCCAGTTTTGGTTGCCAAGATGTAGAAAAGATGTGGAGACTCTAGAAAGAGTGCAGAGAAGAGCAAGACTCAAGGATAAAACGTATAAAGAATGTTTGCTGGAACTGGGTATGTCTAGTTTAATGAAAAGAAGGACTAGGGGAGACATGATAGCAATGTTCCAATATCTCAGGGGTTGCCACAAAAAAGAGGGAGTCAAGCTGTTCTCCAAAGCACCTGAGGGCAGGACAAGAAGCAATGGGTGGAAACTAATCAAGGAAAGAAGCAACTTAGAACCAAGGAGAAATTTCCTGACAGTGAGAACAATTAATCAGTGGAATAACTTGCCTCCAGAAGTTGTAAATGTTTTAACACTGGAAGTTTTTAAGAAGAGATTCCATTTGTCTGAATTGGTGTAGGGTTTCCTGCCTAAGCAGGGGGTTGGATTAGAAGACCTCCAAGGTCTTTCCAACTCTGTTATTCTATTTTATTATGAGTTGTATGAATACACACAGATCCGAAAGTTGTAGCTACATGGAGAAGTCACTCCAATCTTCTCAGAATTGGACTCTGACTGGACAAATCAAGTTGAGATGTCTTTTTGTAAGTTTAGCTAGAAAGTCTTTGTAACACTCAATTTTTAAATTAATATTTCTTGCTTTTAAAGCCTTAAAGTGTTCAAGGTTGTACAGTAGAGTCAGCTAAAGGTTAAATTATATCAATAAATTAAAAAAAATGGTCAATTGATGTAGTAAAAAAATCAGGGAATGGGTTTTTTCCTCAATTCTAGTTTTGTATGCATTTATGTTTAAGGTGGTGGCACACAGTGGCTCAGTGGCTGAGATGCTGAGCTTGTCGATCAGAAAGGTCAGCAGTTTGGTGGTTCGAATCCCTAGCACCATGTAACGGAGTGAGCTCTCGTGATTTGTCCCAGCTTCTGCCAGTTCGAAAGCACATAAAAAATGGGGACCACTTTGGTGGGAAGGTAATAGTGTCCTGTGCGCCTTCGGCATTTAGTCATCTCGTCCACATGACCACGGAGACGTCTTCGGACAACGCTGGCTCCCTGTCTTTGAAACGGAGATGAGCACCACCCCCTAGAGTCGGGAACAACTAGCACATAGGTGCGAGGGGAACCTTTACCTTATTCTTCATTGGTTTTTCTTATTTATTTATTTATTTATTTATCTTGTATGCCGCCCACTCCC